TGGCTTGGCTGGCCGATTGAGGACGCTACTTGGGTACCAAAGACAGAAATTAAATATCCCGAGGATATACCAATGATGATTGAAAGGGACCAACCGATAGAGGATATGGGTGGATCGAGTGGTGGTTCATGATTTGATTTTCGGGACGAAAATACTTAGAGGGGGAGTGATTATCAGATTATAAACGGTCAAGATATGTATTATCGGAATATGAAGTGTATAGGTATAATGATAATACACTAAGGCACCGGTGTGGGTGCCATGATACGGATTGTTTCCACACCGGTGATCCGCGAGTTGATCACCGTACTTATGTGGTGAGTACGGCATACTAATGATTCTTTCTCGCGCAAGCAAACTACTCCCACGACTCAGCCCAGCGACCTTGGCTGACCTGGCCGGTGGAGCCTGCGAGCTCGCCTATCCCCGAGCATACCGCCATGAGCGCTGTGCCCAACATGCGCAGTCCGACCTTTTGGACCCGGCGGAGGTGGAGCATTGAGCGGCCAACCACCACGTGCATCAGAGGCCCCCTCGCGATGGCGGGGGCCCAAAGGGAAGCCAACAGTCACTCACATAAAGTTATAGGTGTGAGCTTGGTGGCTTTGGGTCGTTGGGCACAATGCACCATGTGCATTATATAACGATGGTGGTAATGGTGTGATGGATTGTGATGGGAGCGTGTCACCTTATTGCCACCCTTGGCAACGTGTGTGGGTGCTATGAGAGAAGTGTGGAAAGGGCAATTGGGTGTAAAGTATGCCGGTGGTTGTTGTTGTGCATGGATAAGAGAAAATGGTGATAGCATAATGGAATAGTATCACTAGGAGGTGCATGTAATGAGTTCTGGCATTAGTGGGGGATTTTGATAGGAAGGGAGAATATTCTAGATGCATTGCATCATACTACGAATTCATGTATTGCCAACACATGAATTCTTAGTATGATATAATATTTGTGTATGGTAGTTCAATAGGAAGTGTACTTAGAGGGAAACGGTATAAGGTGGCAAGGCTATGGGATAAGGAATAAGATGTTATGGTGTAAGGGATTTTTTTATAGTGCTAAAGAGTAGCATTATGGGGCTATGGCGTAGGATAAAAAGAGGTGCCACTGGTCCATTTGTCAATAATGTCGACCGCTTGCACACCCCCATTCTTGGGCCAGGGGCCTAACCAAAACCCCAAAATAGACCTAAAGTACTAAACAACGAGAAAGACCTAGAATTGGGCCTCAGGACAAATTAGACAAATTATTCAGCAGATATTTAGAAGCCGTGTGGAGAAGTTCTGGACCATTTGGAGTAGAATTGAGATGAGCACGGGGGATCTTCTGTATTAGAGTCCCAAGGATTGGATGATCAATACCAATTGATGTTGGAATCTACTAGGAGGTATAATTGATTATAGTGATTATAAATGTTGGAATTTATTGGGAGATATAGCGATTATTATACTAAGAGGTATAGTGATCGTTGGATATCCTAGTGTTGCAATTTACTTGTGTTGGTGGAACTGAAGGGTGGTTGAAAAATTAACTTAGGATAAACCTGATGAATGATGCCGGTGGCCCCACTTACATTGGCCAGTAGCATATTAAAATAGCTGTACATTAACATTTGTACATTATACATTTCATTATACATGATTGTATGCTGATTTGTAAGTTAGGTGTGTGTGGAGTATACTCTGTAACATATCTCTGATTGGGTTTCGTGCTCTCTCGCACGCAGCCCCTGCGTGGTCCTTGCTAAGACCCGCATCAAGTGGTTTTGGAGCCCGATGACCATGGTATGCATCGGTATGGACTGACAGCTAGTGCCTATGGACGTGGAAGACACTGCAGTTACACCGCTGGTGGAGGAACCAGGGCCATCCGGAGGGGGCCAAGGACGTACACCAAATCCACATAAGCCATTCCTAACTGAGCAGTAGTCACACCCCTAGCCAATGACAACGATGTTAGCAGCACGTCAGCCATCCATCAATAGCGATTACCATTTATCATGTATTGCCCAGCATGCAATACCCTACATTCAGGATGCCAGGGGCTCTTTTCAAGCTACAGATTGCTGCATACTGATGCAATATTCAGCCATTATCAAGGCTGCTAATTTTATGGAGAGATAGGCAGCATTCTGTCAGCCTTCCTCTCGCTTTTTGGTTGCTTCCCACGACTGAAGTTCCTGCCCTGTAGTACATTGCGCTCAGCCACTTTCGAAAGTGTATTCCTGTCATGAATCGGGCACTACTTTCACTGAAACCCATGACTTTCATTTCCCTTTTAGTGCCTAATTCTGCAGCTGCAATTTTGAATCTTTCTGCAGCATGTTCCCTTAAATACTAGAACTATTAGATCATGCCATTCCCGCTGTGCTGCATTGCAGTCATATTGGCTGCATTGTGCCAAAATTTTAGCAGCGTTTCGCAAAGACTTTCGGGTGTTCAGCCCGTCGAATGTACTGTATTTCATGACCGCCGGTCTCGCAATCTTTCTAGTATTGTTTCTGAGGCCCAGACCAGTGTTTCGAAGCTTTCGAAAGCACTCCCATATGATTCCTTTTTACTCTTTCTTCCATATGCCGAAGGTTGTTTGTCTATGCTAACAAACGATCCGGTTATATTTTCTTTATATTAATCATCAAAGCCCAAATTCTTTCAACGTGTTTTGTCATTTTCCGCAACGCTAAACGGCTGTCCATGTTCTCCTGACCGGCCATATCTGAGTTGGTTCCAGTCAGCTGCCGTATGTCAGTCACGAGCCCGTCATGGCGGGCACAATGATCATTGTGCTGACGCGTCGCAACGACAAGCAGCGAGTTTAGCACACCATTTCTGCGTTTACGTTCCTACGTGCAAAACCGTGTAAATGGAGAATGGTCCACACTTGCGGCTATCCATATGCGTTTTTGCAACTCGCCAACGCACCCAGGTTACATGGTGACATTCCTATCCATGATCATTTCTCCACCCCCTCGACTCGAGGGGGCTCGAGGGCCTCGATCACAGGCAACACAGCAGCTACCTCGGCCTCGGCAAGGGCAACGACGTACCCGAGCTTAAGGTCGTTTTCTGTAGGCTTCAGCGCGTTTAGCTGCCACCCCGAAGACTCTCTGAGTCTGGACTCGGAGTGCATACAGATCTGTATGCACTATCTTTAGGTGTATAGGTCCCGTTTATATGCATTTTTACACCTGTTTATGCGCAAAATGTAAAAACTACTGCTGCGCGTGGCCAGACACAAGTACACAATTTTTGCACCGTAAATAACAAGCCTGCCTCAGAGCAAAGATTCAGGGAACTTGGCTGTTTTGCATTTTTGCTAATGTCTATAAGCCATTTGCCAACACTACTGCCCACCCGCAACGTACCTCTCAATATTACCGTCCACACGCTAAACTCCGATTAGAATATCATGACAGGTTTTCCATTTTCGGAAAAGAACTATGTTATTGCCGCACCAGGGTTGTCAAGGTTCCCACCCCAAATTCCCACCACTGAACTCTCCCTCCAGCAATTTGCTCGATGCGGATGCCGCTTTTCAGGATGCGCATTCCGCACTTCAAAATTTTGTACGTATCTCAGTTCCACCCGGCAGCTTGTCACAATCTGCCCGTGTCGGGTTCCGCTGGAGCGTAAAATGCGTGGGCACATGTCCACTGTGACACCAGTTGGTGCATTTCTTGTGCAAATGTTACCAATATCATCACCATCTCCTCCTTCTCCTTCGCCATCGTAACAATTTGTAACGCTGCGTCGAAACCATGCAGGCGCGTGACAGTTCACTAAAGCGAGGCGATGGTGATTGAGGCGGTCGCGGCAACAGTGCCTTGACTTTGTTAGCCTCGCTGCGTTCTGCCACTTCTGTAGTATTTTGTTTCAGGGAATGTTCCACCAAGTTTCTGAGACGTTTATTGCAGCTTTCAACATTTAGCTGCACGTGCAAATTGCACATTGAATGTGCCGCTTCCAAAATACACATACATAATCTCAAGCCGGTGGAGTTTATTGGGCATTGAGGTTGGCGTAAATATCATGTAGATGGGAAGGGCCACAGTGAGAATTTGTTTTCCGAGCTGAGGTCCCTCAGAAATTATCAATTACTAAGTAATATATCGCAGCATCTTCATGAATGCATCACGCGCTAATTTGTCACATCTAATTTGTTTCTATGCCATTCATGTGTGGTACTTAAAATCTCATGACTGCACATTAAGATTTGACAATGTCGAAATGTTCAAAGCACAAGATGAGCCAATAGAGCAGCTATCCCTTGCCTTTTAATCCCATGTAGATTTCCAAAAACATCTTGATGATTGCCTTTGGTACACTAATTTAGAAATATCATCTTCAAATTTGAGCGTTATGCATCATCAGAAAAACGAAATCGCAAGTGTAGGTTGACTCAATGGCTTCAAACTCGAGCGCCCACAAACGCCCCAACGCTGATTCTGTACGGACAGCGCTTGCAGCATGAAAACCTCGGGCAAAATCTCACAAAAATCCGCTTAGAATTATTCGCTGTCTCCTCAACAGCATTAAAGTGGAAATATCTGAGGCACAAATATGGATGCGGGTACAGTTCATGATCTCTACAGTACATTGGTTTTCACAGCTCCGTTGGAAAGGGCACAATCAATCATCCATCTTCAGCACGCATTTCCGAAATTTTCTTGCGAGTACTATGGCCTCTGTACGCAGACTGAACCACTGTCGCGGCTTGGTGGTCGCCCTCTGCCGGTCCACCCGTGCTATCGTCTAGAAGAGTCGCTGTCGCAGTAGAAACATCTTCGGAGCAGTTTGGATGGTCCAGACTGCGGCCAGATGCAACATGGATTCAGTAGCAACAATCATATCCGGCACTGCCTGTTGTCCTCCATCGCATGAACCGACGTTGAAACCCCGTATTGAGACATCCCAGGAGCAATACAGGTAATGCGTGCATGTGCGCGCTGATAGCATTCATCTTTTGAACTGCACTGAATTGAAGAAAATCTTGTATCACTCCTTGGTTTCTGTCACATATTCAGAGCTTAGATCTCAGCGACAACTTTTTCACTTGGGCCAATCCGCCTTGCTTAATTTTCTCCCCGTGTCAGTACTGCGTGCGCCCCATTAATTGAATTACTGCTGACTGCTTCTAAAGACGTTTTGACCGAAAATGTTCACTGCAACGCACCGGCCACGTCATCGACAATATCGCGATACCGCACGTGAATCTGCACGCACACACCTCGAGTCCTCTTCCTTATTTTCAGGGATCACAGGTGCAACATCCTCATCTCGTCGCTCGCTTTCAACCTCTTCTTCCACGTTCATCGCGTCACAGGCCGCCCCGGGAGGCACGACACGGGGCTTGTTCGGGTTGTTGGCCAGGAGCCAGTTAGCCAGGAATGTTATGACCTCGAATTCCTCTCCGGATGGCTTCTGCTTGGCAAGCACAGTGAGGGCTTTGATTAGCACGGGCTGGAGGTTGGCGGCGATGTAATCAGAGGCCGAGCCAAGCCACTGACCAAGTTCCTCCGGCGACGAAGGCGCTCCGCGGAGGACGACGCCCGGGAAGAAGAACTGTATCTCTCGCATGGCCGATGCGGCGGAGTCGGAGCCGTGAACAGCGTTCATAGTTCCGTCCTTGCCATAGAGACCGCGAATGCTGCACAACAGAAATTTCTGTCATCACACCTTGCAGCGTGTTGCCAATTTGAGTTGGAGGCGTGAGGCAGAAGAGGGGTACATCAGAAAGGCTGTTGGTGGCCTGCCTGAGTTTGAAAATAAAGTGTGCTGCTTGCTGTGCCGTAGAAGGCCCCAGCGCATTTGTGCACCGGCATACCGTCAGTGTTTGTGCACACATGTGCTGGGACCTTTGACGTGCGTATCAGTTATTGATGTCAGTTGTGAATTCGGGGGCTCAAAGAAGGAAAATTTGTCAGCGGGTGCTGTTGCTGCGAGTGCATTGCATCCTGTATCAACACAACAAAGCGCTGTGTCGCCGTCTTGTGGTAGTGGATCTCCAAATTTGGAGATCATTATCCATCGGTCAGTAGTATCTATGATCATCTTCCAACGACAGTAGGACATATATACAATGGAAATAATCACTGAATAGGCTATGCTTATTTAATTCATGTTTTTGGGCAAATAGAGGCGCTTCTTTGCAACACAACAAAGTAAATGTTGCGAATCCTCACAAAACTCTCTTGCAATGTTGGGAAGCACAAGATACGGTGGACGCAATATCGTACAGCGCTTCGTGTAATGTTGTTTGTGAGCTTGTAGCTTGTAGTTGCGAGCCTGCAAAGATCTGTTTTGCACGTTCCCCCTGCGTTATTCTACCACTCACGTGTTTTCACATTCATCAAACTGACCATTGGCGCTTTTGATCCGCAATGTTCATGACAAAGTCGGAAACGGTACCTCTTTGGGCACTCCTCTCTGGCAGTTTCCGAGCATGTTGGGCCCATCATGGATCGCCAGTGGGAGATTGCGTCGGTCTTCGCCAGGATCATCGCCCATATTGGAACATTGGACATGAACTGAACGAGCTTGGGGAAGTATGGTTTGCCCTTATGCTCGGCATAGAATTCCTCGACCGCAGATGGCTTGAGCTGCACTTCCACACGATCCACAAATGAGCTTTTTCAGGCTTCCGCAAATCTCCAAGCCTGCTGGTGCCGCTCTGGATGTGTGTTCGCAACGGGATCCTATTCTATTCCGGAGGTTGATATCAGTCTCACATGTGTGGTCACAATGTGTCGCATTCCACTCCCACTTTCGCCGACGCGCGTGTCGTGAATGATGGAATGGTTGAATTAACGTTAATTTTTGATGTGTTTTGGAACAATGCTGCACAAATGGATATTCTCATAAGTTCGATTCTGTAATATGCGATGCATGTTCGATGCCTTGGCAAAGTTACCGCTTCTTCGAAGGGTATGCTAAATGCATCACAGTTGTTATGCAAAAAAGGTATTTCCATTTATGTGAGATAGCAAAGGAATCGGATCTCGCGTATTCAATAGCGTTAAAACACCATATCTTTTCCTGTGTCTCTCACCTCGGTTTGCTTCTTGTAGACAATGGAAAATCCCGCAAGCTCTATAAGCTGCATGATTTCGAAGGCTTTCCCCGCCCTTACTGCATCTGGTTTTATCATCGCCAGGGTGTGCTCCACCGCCGAAACGGCAGCCCTGGCCATCACCATGTTGCGGTTCACGCAAACAACGCCACCCCTTCCAAGCTGACTAAGTCAAAGTGATCCACTCGGCAGCCAGCCCAAAGATACTTAGAGATGTGCCCTGCAGCCTGTGTGCCTGTGCCTGTCCTCCCACATCACCGGCTCCTGCCAAACTTCCCCACGCCAACAGACGCGGAGCTAATAAGCAGAAATTCCTCACAAGACCAGCAGCATTCAACATATGTAGTCCTAAGAATCAACTTGGTACGAGTATTGTATTTTTAAATATGGTCGTTGAGTTCATCGAAACGCGGCGCACATCAAGGCCGTAGTGGTGCCAATAGCCTCCCATTTCACTTGTAAATGCTCGGTCTCTGTGGAAAGCGAATTTCAATGCCGCGGAGATACGAGGACATGATCCGCCTGATTATATATCGCTTCGGATAGAAGCATGAATCGGATGCATTAAGACAACAAGGAAGCGGCCACGTCCTTACTGTACAAGCGATATTATGTGCCCATGCTTTGATCATGATCACTGGCAACACCAAAGCATTGCGTCAGAAGGTCTTAAATTGCGGCAAATTAGCACCAGTAGAGAACAGCCTGTTTGCGATGCCAACCGCTATGCGTTTCACACAAACTGATGCCATCATAGCCGCTTTCATACCATCGCAATCACTGTGGAGGCATCACTTTGTGTCGAAATGGCATCGCACTTGGCATCGCAAACATGCGTTTTTCTACCAGTGTAGGAAATCATATAGTGTTATATGAAACAGAAAATTTCTCTGAGATATTTGTGCAACAAGTGCTACAGTTGCAGAACTGAACAAGCCCTGTTCAGTCATCCGCTAGTCGATGCGAGGCAGTTCTTTTGGCAAAAAAATCTGTAGAAGTATACAAAATTAGACAAGTCCAGTTTATCGCACGTGCATTTCCCTGATGCCCTGCAGCGGTTCGCTTACATAACATGTGCTCGCTTTGTTACTCTGACTGGCAGCTGCATATCGCAAATTGATTGCACACAGTCCACACACATGTGTGTATCTGTACAGATACCCAATCCATTCCTTGCGAAACGCACTTTCAACGTCAACTGCATGTCGGCGATTTTCGTTAATTTCACACCAAACTTTTCATCAAATGTAGGAGTGTCTCAATTTTCCAATTGATTGCAGATGCAAGCAGCTGGAAACTAACACTGCATTTTTCTGACACCCTTCATTCTTCCAGATATGAAGGTCATGAAGTTCATCGGGCTCATTTTGCTTTTTCTTCAGATTTTTCGGTGTTTGCAGTTTGAGGTTTGGGTTATCATACCCTCATACCTCTCATGATTTTCGTGAACCCCTCATGGCACTCATACATGGAAATGACGGTTACCGGTCGAACAACGCAGGCCCACAAGAAGGGCCCACTACAATGTTGGCGGACCACGCCAGGGCCGTGTCGGACACCGGCGTGCTGGCCAGCATGGTGGACCTGGAGGTGTCGCTGCAGAGCAGCGAGGATTCGAAGACAAAGTGCCGAAGGGCGCTGACGTCGGTGGTGGGCAGGCTGGAGTGCGTACCCGCACTAGATGGCCTGGCGCGGAGGAACTTGCCCGAAGGGGTCATGCTGGTTGTGCTGGAGCAGGTGGGAAAGTGCTGGGCGAGGATGCCGTGGGGAGAGCCCAGTTTGCGCGCTCCGGGGGGTGGCCGCGGCGCAGCGGATTGGGGAGAGCCAGGGCGGCAGGCAGGCGGAGGCCATGGAGGCTATCAACGGCCAGTACCCGGAGGTCGTCGCATACTAAAATTACAGCCCGAGCTACAGCAAACGCCTTCTTGAGAAGTTGGATGCATCATCTGCGCAGACTGTGGCTGGTTGATCGTTGATCCGATGATTTGGATGTACATGGGGTGGTGGGTGGTGGTGGTGGTGGGTGGGTGGGGTTGGGGTTGGGGGGGGGTTTCGAAACCCATCGTACGACACCACGTTGAGGATGATTATGTTGATGGATGATGAGCTGCCCGGCTGCCGACAAGGCAACGGGGAGAAAGTTGTCCGCACCTGCGTCAAGGCTGTTCATAGGCTTGTTCATAGGCGACGCGCGCAAGGGGACAGCGTGATTGGTGGAAGTATTTGTAGGCTTCAATGTTGCCATGGTGCATGTAATCATAAGACTTGGCAGGGGATATGCGCAAGTGGGGTTTATGCGTACGCATGCTCCGACCCTCCCACCATCGATCGAGTTGCACACCGCTGTGTTCGCTTTGGATATAAGAAATTGTGATTTAGGAGTGCGGTGATGGACGACATTCTCTCAAAGCCAACAGCATGTGCGCCGATGGCATGTATGGCAGACAGGTCAAACATGATGAACTGGTGTTGGTGCAGGTACAGCATGACATTGGAAGGAGCACAATGCACTGGTAAAAATTCGACGATTTTACACGGTGGACAATCGCGTGAAATCATGTGGAAATCGTGTAAGAATCAGGTGCTTTGGAGCATGGATTTACACGGTTGGTAAAATCGTGTACTCTTCAGCCCTGTGTAGTACACGAAAGTGGTCCAAATTGCCACCATGGACAACACGATAAAGAACACGGTTTTACACGATTCCAACCGCGTACCAGCGGCAATACGATTTTTACGGTTTTACACCCTTTTGACTTGCATAACACGGTACACGATTTGCAGGACCGTCTAATTTGGAGATTTTTTACCAGTGATGCATAAAGCTCTTGCCGGAGAGTAGTTGGAATTCAAGGAATGTCGAGCAGTCTCTTGATGGGAACCATTAACAACAGTTTAAGACAAATTTCCTTTCAGCCAGGTTACCATTCACACATTGGTTGTCTTCTTGAACATCACAACTTGCGAAGCTGAAAATTGAAAGAAGACATCAGCGGCCTCCTTGGGGAGCTATTTCAACTCGCCAGGCCACCCAGAACAGGTGCGCACGTGCTTAAACATGTGTTAACATTTCCAAGAGATTGACAAACCTGTCGCACCCATAGGACTGTGGCATCTCCATCTCCACAGCAGGGTCGATCGTGACCAGGCTTGGATTTTGCGCCGTAAAAACTTGTCGTATTTACGTGATTGTAGGCTTCAAAATAGTTTTACGTTTTTACGCGTGAAAATGCGTAAAAGCACGTAAATGCAATGTAAAAATGCCCGATTTACATAAGACAGTACATACAGATTTACGGAGTCCGGGGAGTGGCAGCCAGACGCCCTGCAAAGGGCAGAAATGAGTTTTTGTTAAGCGCGGTTATCGCCCTTGCCAGGTGCGAGGTGGACGTTGTATTGTGAGGGCTGGAGATGGCGGAGGACTGATGATTGTACACAACTTTCATCGTGTAGGCTGGGTGCCCAGGGAGCCGCAAAAACATAAGAATAGCCGTAAGAATAGGCCCTTTTGCAAACATACGTTTTTACGCGCACAAACGCAAAAGCAAAAGCGTAAAGGTAAACGCAAATACCATGCCTGATCGTGACGATATGGTATTGCTATGTGCACGCGCAACTGCACAACTTCACGCTTCGCTACAATTACCCGTGCAAATGTCACCAGCCTGAAAAATTGAATGACAGTTTGCCCATAAAAGTGGTCGAGCAAGCACGCAAAAAGGGCACAAAGACGTACAATCCGCGAATTTGAGGACATCCTCGGTTTCGCGTGCCCCGGGCCGCTAAAGGGCTTCATGAGGAGTTGCACTGTATAGTGTGTGGCAATGTAGCAATGTCATGAAGGTGATTGTGCGTTTTCAACTTAATGCTCATTTTTGTGTATCATTGTGTATACATTACAATGCATATGCGCACGTCGCCATCAAACTGCACCTCCATGGCAGCGCAGGCTGCGAACTACTGGGAGTCATTGTTGAATCGCCTTGCGGGTACAACTCGAAAATTGCGACGGTTTTCTTTTTTGCCACTTGCTGGCCAGTATACTCAATGATATACCGGTGCATGACTACCCTGGCTCAATTCACCCGCACGCACTGAAGGCGGGGAAGCAACCTTCCGATAGTCGCAACCTCAGAGGTAATCGTCAAACACATATTATCGCCGTCCAACAAAACATTCAAGGCAGTTGTCCCATGGCATATCTCTGCTCGAAGTCAAGTTGAATTGACATGCGCTGAGTAGGAGCAAAAAAAGCAGAAGACACAAATGCTTGCTCCAAAATCAAAATAGTACAAAATGCTCCGCCAGGTATCCAGGGGACAGATCCCAAATGAATCTTTCTCCATGCATACAGTGGTTTCAAGGGTTTGTTCTAGACCCCGACCCATATATGGCATCGCTGCCCGACTTAATCACACAACAAGTCCCCGATCACGATCACCTCCACTTGTTCATTCGTTCCAAGCTCGGCGATTGCCAGATAACCCAACAAGAGATTTGATGTGGGCCTCGCCAAACTCCCCCTCGTAAATGTACCACAACCAAATGTGATCACGGCTGTCCCACTGCATTCCAAAAATCCTAAATTGCACTGTCTTAAATGTACTTCTGTTAAGTGCAAGACTGTGCGCTGACAGTGGATCTGACGAAACCAGTGAGAAAACCAGATTGCTGGGTGGAACGGTATTTAAGCGAGCGGGCTCCCCTCTCCTTTCCGCCTACCCAGGGTTTTGTGTACTGCAGTATGACTGAAGAGAGTGTAGTACACTATACTAAGCTGTGCGACATCCAATGCAGGTACGGATCGATCCACGGCCCCGACATCTACTTTCCCGTCTGCAACGAAAAAGCACAGAAACACCCGACTGCTTGCGTTTGATTGGGACAAGTCACGCTGCCCGACCGATCAGCGCCCTCTCTGTGCCCCTTCATCCCCTCTGTCCTCTCAGAAATCAAGTACGCAGTATATGTTGAATCAGCAGGAGCGATCTTGTCTGTTTCCGCCGTTGGTGCGGTCACAATGTCTGTACATGCACAGGTGCCCAATAGCCGCGCTGTGCGTTCCTTTGTTCCTCTGTCCCCTTGGAAAGAGGGTGTTGAACAACTGGCGAATGGGACAG